CTTATTAGTTCAAGTATATGTTGATGATATCATTTTTGGATCAACTGATAATTCCTTGTGTGTAGAATTTGCTAAGATAATGCAGGGTGAATTTGAAATGTCAATGATGGGAGAATTAGCATTCTTCCTTGGACTTCAAATTAAACAACTTAAAGATGGCATTTTTGTGTCTCAAACCAAATACTGCAAAGAGATTCTCAAGAAATTTGGAATGGACACTTCAAAGGAAGCTAAAACACCCATGAGAATTCATGCTATTTAGACAAGGATGAATCAAGTTTGCAAATAAATCAATCTATGTATAGAGGTATGATAGGTTCACTGTTATACTTAACTGCAAGTAGACCTGATATTATGCAAGTAGACCTGATATTATGGTATCCATCTGAAGTTTCTCCTAGTTTAATAGGATATTCTGATGCTGATTATGGTGGATGTAAAATAGATAGAAAGAGTACTAGTGGATCATGTCATTTTTTAGGATCATCCTTAGTATCTTGGCATTCTAAGAAACAAGCATGTGTTGCTTTATCCACTACTGAAGTTGAATATATTGCAGTTGGTAATTGTTGTGCTCAAATTTTATGGATGAAACAACAATTAGAAGACTATAGAATCTTTCTAAGTGATATTCCTTTGATGTGTGATAATACAAGTGCAATCAATCTTACTAAGAATCCAGTAATGCACTCTATAACTAAGCATATAGAGATTAGACATCACTTCTTAAGAGATCATATTAGTAAAGGAAATTGTAAAATCGAATATGTTGATGCAAAGCATCAATTAGAAAATATTTTTACTAAACCTCTTCCCAAGGATAGATTCTATGATCTTAGAAGAGACTTAGGAATATTAGAAATAGCCTAAATTATGCTTAACTAATCAATTTTTGCATGATTGTACTGTAATAATCGATTATGTAGGGTTTTAATCGATTATCATATGTCTAAACCTTAAAAATTTGATGATCTCTCTGGAATAATCGATCATTTTGGGACATAATTAATTAGTTGCACCAAAATGTCCAAAATCAGAAGTTTCTCTCTGGAATAATCGATTATTTGAAGCAATAATCGATTATTAGCTAGTTTAATCGATTAACAACATCAGTTAATCAATTAAAAATTTCAGTTGAAGCTTTAATCGATTAACATCAGCTTTAATCGATTATCCTGGAACTTTTTTATAAACTAGCTGTTTGGAACGGCTATTTTGGCACCCATTCACCCAAATCTAGCCATTTATGACCGTTATACTTGTTCTCTATATATAGGAAGGCTTCATTTCACATCTCCACACCTCCAAACCTTGAATCAAAGCATTCTTGCATCATTCAAGCTCTCTTGTTTACTCAAAGCCTCACTTGCTTTCCAAATTCCTTGTTTTCTTTCCTTTTAATCTTAATGGCTTCCTCATCACATGCTAAGATCCCCACAAGAAGAAGATCCGCTCCTACTTCTCATCCACGTCAAAATTCTGTTGAAGGATGGATCTTCGATGATGAAGGCAGACAAGAATTTCTGACCTTCTGGAAAGAAAGGGGTATCATCACTCTAAAATATATTATTGGTGATCAATTCATCAATGGGGGATTTAATTTTCCAAATCTTCTTGAAATACAAGGTGTCCTCCCATTTATCTAAATGCAAGGTACTTACTACCCTTATTTAGTTAGGGTATTCTATTCTCGTTTCAAATTTAGAGATCATGTAGCTACTTCTCGAGTCAAGGGTGTGACTATCATCCTTGATGATGATATATGGGAAAATGTTGCCCACTTTACTGTAAGAGAAGATGCTATCAATATTTTTGCAGAGTTATAAGATTTTGATAGAATTATGGCTTATCGCTCATTTCTCTGCAACCCCTCCATGGAAATTGGGCGACTTCTCGAGTAAAGAAGGAAGAACGCATGTTGCTACATCTCATTGTCTGGATTTTATGTCCTCGGGCAACCAACCATGCCCAATGCTCATCTATTGATCTTCGCATTATTCATGCCATCATGAATAATGAGCCAATTGACTAGGGTAGTCTTGTCACTATGACAATGCTGAAAGCCAAGCGTCATCCAACCTTTAAAATTTCATATGCTCTTCTTATTTCTCGTATTTTGGAATACAAAGGAGTAAATGTTGATGGAGAGCAAGCGGTCAGGACGATAAATTCAAATCGAATGCTTGACAACACGCTCACTCAGCTTCAAATGGTGCGCGTAAATGGAATTTATGTTCACAAAGATGACGCTCCCAACATGGCTGAAGATGTTCAAGATTCCGATGAATAGATGCCTGCTGCTGAGTTTCCTACTGAAAATATTCATACTGCTGAGACATCATCTTCCCCTCCTACATCCCATTAATCAATGGAAGATATGCTCTTTGATATGAATCAAAGAATGCAAGAATTCTTCACTATCTCCCAAGAACGGCATCAAGAAATCATTCGTCGTATCTCAGATGTAGATGATAGGATTTTTAACTTAGAGGATAGATTTGATGCTCAATTCAACAGCGATGAGAGTGAAGAGTTTTAATCTCTTCCTCATATCTTCTTGTTTGTAATTACTTTAATTTATGGAATAAAATTGGTATTTTTGCTTTGTTTGAGGGGGAGCTATTTCTATATCTTATGCACTTATTGAGGGGGAGCTTTCATTTTTTTTTTTTCATAATCAAAATAGGGGGAGAAATTATTTAAAGCCTCTTATGTTTCTTATGTTTATTAAATTTAAATGTTTTCTGGTATGTTTAATGCTTTTTGTTAGCTGTGACAGACAAAACAGGTTATTACAAAGGGCTTTAAAGGAAATTTTGATCATCATCAAAAAGGGGGAGATTGTTGAACATACAAGGATATGAATGTTGAACATACAAGGATATGAAGCTTGTATATTTTGATCATCATTTAGACGGAATTTGGTTTCAGTTTCTTATTTGGACATCTTAGGTTATTTGTGTTCATTTGGACATAATAAGTTTAGTTTGTCTTTTAATTCAAATATTGTTGTAACTGGTTCACTTTTGGCTTATAATAATTAGTATTTACTTGATATTGTGGCCACCTATAATGAAACCCTTAATACAGAATCACGTGGTACTAAACGTAAAATTGAAAATACTCACTCAGGTGCATTATGGCACAAGTTCTCAGGTCACAATCGAATCGTGGCGCTTGAGCTTGTGTTACACTCTTAAAGATATGATAAGGAGTATGATTTGTCATTCCACCTTACCGGAATCACTATGGGGAGAGGCACTAAAAATGACAACTTATATTTTAAATAGAGTACCAATTAAAGTAGCTACCAAAACACCTTATGAGCTTTGGACTGAGCAACAGCCTAGTCTGAAGCATTTTCATGTGTGGGGTTGTCTAGCTGAGGCAAAGCCTTATAAGCCAAACGAAAAGAAATTGGACTCCCGAACAGTAAGTAGTTATTTTATTGGTTATGCTGAAAGATCTAGGGGATATAAATTTTATGATCCCACATTAAAGACAATTTTTGAGACGGGAACTGCTACGTTCTTTGTGTTAGAATCACGCAGCGGAATGTTTGCGTGAACGGACAAAAACCAAGAGGGGGGGTGAATTGGTTTTTTATCCCCAAATTTTACCGATTAAAATGTTGTGTAAACGTAAATAGAATAATGATAGAGTCTTACACAAAAGATTTATACTGGTTCGAATCAAAAGACCCTATGTCCAGTTGTTAATCACCCAAACAGAGGATTAACGATGTCACTATAATAAAAGTTATACAAACAGATAACAATTGAAAAGATAAAGTAATGAAAACACCTTTCTTGAGTCACACAAGAGATGAAGAACAACTTTCCCTAGAGACGGCACAACACACAATCCACCAAGAACTCCACTTAGTGATTCTTATCGCTTCTAGCCTACACTAGGTTCCAAAAGTCCCTTTTTCCTCCAACAAACAATTCTCTGGAAGTCACAGGTCTCAAATTTTGTTTGAAAAAGGTTGTTCACTTTGCAGAGAGCCTTAGAGAACCTTAAGTAGATGAATTAGGGTTTGGGAATTGGGGATTTTTGAAACCTTGTGTATTGGGACTAGGGTTTTCGAAACTTGGTCTAATTTTGAAGTTTAAAATGCATATTTGACTGAAATAATCGATTATCTTGAGTGTTAATCGATTATTACAGAGCCAAAATCAACAGAAACCCATAACCACGCTAGTTAATTGATTATTTAGGCTGTTAATCGATTAACAACCTTGTTACTCGATTATTTCAGTTGTTAATCGATTATTCCAGAGAGCTGATATAGAAAATGGTTTTTCTCTCTATAATAATCGATTATTTAGCCTTTTAATCGATTAAACCAGTGTGTTTTTGATAAAAATTAGTTTTTGAATCTTCTAAAGAGTAGACTATGTGCTGGCTATCTTAGACTCTAATATTACAGACTCAAAATCACCAAAATAGAGTTATTACACAAGAGTACAAGTCTTCAACGCTCTATGTCCATTGTTCTTGAATCATCATCAAAATCAACAAGTTTCATGTCCATGTAAGTTCAACATTCATGTCCTTGTATGTTTCAACAATCTCCCCCTTTTTGATGATGATCAAAATTTTCTTTTAAAGCCCTGTAATAACCTGTTTTATCTGTCACACTAACAAAAACATTAAACATACCAGATAATATTTATATTCAATCATAAGAGACTTTAAATATTTCTCCCCCTATTTTGATTATGATCAAAAATAAATTAAAAACTCCCCTTCAAAATATGCATAATTAGGAAATAACTCCCCTTCAAACAAAGCAAAAATACAAATTTTATTTCATTAATGAAAATAATTTACAAAAACAAGAAGATATGAAAACAGTATTAAAATTCTTCACTATCGTTATTAAAGTGAGCATCAAATTTATTCTCTAAGTGACACACTTTATCATCTACGTTGGAGATACGACAGATGATTTCCTCATGTCGTACTCCAGAGAGAGTGAAGAATGCATGCCTCCTCTAGTTCATATCAACTAACATGTCTTCCACAGATTGACGGGTTTCAGGAGGAGTAGAAGATGTTCCAGCATTTTGAATCTGATCAGAGGGAAACTTAGCAACAGGAGGCATTTCTTCGTCAGAAACTTCATCATCTGCATCTATGTTTGGAACATCATCCTTGTGAACATAAATATTATTGACACGCACCATTTGAAGTTGGGTTAATGTGACTCCTTTGTACTCTAGAATGCGAGAGATAAGGAGAGCATAGGGAATTTTGAAAGTAGGATGACGTTTGGCCTTCAGCATAGTCATTGTGACAAGGCTTCCCCAATCTATTAGCTCATTATTCATTATTGCATGAATAATGCGAAGATCTATTGAAGAGCATTGGGCATGGTTGGTTGCCCGGGGACATAAGATCCAGACGAGTAGATGCAGGAGCAGGCGTTCTTCCTTCTTTAATAGCCCAGTTAGAAGAAGATGCCCAATCTCCATGAAAGGGTTGCGGAGAAAAGAACGGTAAGCCATGATCCTGTCAAAGTCATCTAACTCTGCAAAAATGTTAATAGCATCATCTCTTATAGGAAAATGTGCAACGTTTTCCCATATATCGTCATCAAGAATAATGGTTACCCCCTTTACACGAGAGGTAGCTACTTGATCTCTAAATTTAAAGCGAGAGTAAAATACCCTAACTAAGTCAGGATAGTATGTACCTTGTAACATCCTAATTCTCAATACCTTTAAAATTTTTATCAAAATTTTAATACTTAAATTATTAGGGATTGGGGAAAGTGACTATAGAGTTTTATGTTTGTTAGATTATTTGTGATTTTTTGGAAATTTTTTGGAATTAAAATAATAATAATAATAATAAATCTAAAAAATTAGATTTTAACTTTTAAAAAGGCATTCTCCCTGCAACTTTTCGTAAATTCTTCCTTTCTCTCATTTCTCGCTTTCTCTCAAACCCTTCTCACTTTGAAGCTTAATTTTGAGGGGGAAATATTAATTTTCTTGAGAAGCTCCAAGAGGTAAGTTTGTTTCTCTCAATCTCCTCTATATTTCTACGGTTTTATTTTTCAAAATGGTGTATTTTCAATTTTTTTCCTCACTTGGCTAAGCTTGAAATGGAGTAGAAAGAGTATTATTGTAGGTTTTACACCTAGGACACTAGAATAATACTTAGAATTGAGGATTAGAAGTGATTAAGCTAAAAACCTTAAGCACCCTAATTCGTAATTCACTGTTCATTGAATTTTGGGACTTGTGTGAACAGAATTAGGAATTGGTATCTTCATGAAAGTTGTAGCCCTATAAGTTATCAAAATTTAGAAACTTGTTTCACATCAAACGGATATTTTTAGCTCAAGTTATGTTCGTTTTATACTGTCAAGTGTTATAGCTGTGAAGTTAAGAGGTTGCCCTGTTTCAACAGCCTCGGTTTTTGAACTATTGGGATTGATATGTGTGAAACTAGGACTTGATTTCTTCATAAAAGTTGTAGGAAATTATATTTTCGAAATTTAGAAATTTGTTTCATGTCAATAACTTATGTGTAGCATGAGTTATAGTCAAATTACCACTGCATGTCCAGAGTGTTCTTGTAGTTGAGCCATGTTGGAAATAACCAATGTAAACTGAAAAACTGCATTTATTCTACAGGGTATTTGAATTTATTTCCTTCATCAATATTGTAGGTAATTAAGTTATTGAAATTTTGGCTCTGAGCTCATGCCAAAACAGCTTATATAACTCTAGAAAATTCTGAAATACTGAACCTTGTCCATATTTGTTATTAGGATTCTTCCTACTCTAAGTGTATTACTTCCATTACTCTCTTCTACTTGTATTAATTCCATTAGCATCAATTTAGGCCCTAGAAATGATTTTATAACTAAAAGAACCATAGTCTTGAATTTTACAATTTTAAGCTATGAAGGAGGTGAGATTTTAGAGGTCTAATATGGTTGGAATTAAGGATTTAATTAGGGTATTTAATTGGCATGTAGGAGGCTACTTAGAGGTGCAAAGAGGAGACCCAAAGACTTGATAGATTATTTGATCAAGAGTTACTCTTCACCAAGTTACAACATAAGGTAAGGGGTAGGATAACTTTTATAATTCACTTTTGCTTGAAATAGCATTAAAAAGAAGTCCCTTTACTTCTAAGCTAATTAGAAATTTATTTAGAATTATTTGAATGCTATTTCTATTTTTTATGAATTTTTAAAGTTTTAAGATTATGTGAATTTTATGGCTTCTAAATGGAGCAATTTGAGTGTATGGAACATTGTATGATTATAAGGCATTCATGAATGTTGTTTGAATCGATTGCTTAATCATTAATAATTTTATATGATTTATTGATGAATTTAGATTGAGAATTAGCCTATTTCTATGTTTAGTATTATAATAATTGCTTTAAATTGATTATTGAGATATATTGTATGTATGTTATGAAGCATGATAAGTAGAAAATTATTGTGGAATGTTTTTGTTAAGATGGATTAGCATGTAGAATTGCATTGTATAATTTGGTGGAATGGAGGAAAGGTGTGAGAAATGAACTATGTGAGAAAGAAAACTATTTTTTTGATATATTAAATTGAGTTTTATAATTTAATTATGAAGTGAATTTTTATATTTTTATTTAATTAATAAATATTTTTCAAAAGTATTGGAATAATTTTGATCTAGGAGAAAACAAGTAATTGTAAGTGAAAATGAATTTTTAATAATTTTGAGGAAATTATTTGTAATTATTATTATTATTTAAGAAAAATAAATTAAAATTGAGAAAATTATGATTTTGGGTGATGATGAATATGATGAGGTGGAAGGATGGTTTGGTGAAAAGTATAAGTGTTCTGGGATGTTTTTGATTATTTTGCAGGTGTTAAAATTTTTTGGGAATGTTCGATTTACAGGGGAAACTCTGTCAGATTTTTTTAAAGAAATGGCCTAGTATTATTTTGAAGAAGTTAAGATGTGATTTAAGTATAATGAGGTGAAACAAAGTTGAAAGAGTGTGAAGAAGTTATGATAAGTCATGCATCATGTTCATGAGTCAGAGATTGAGTGTATGAGGAGGATATGGAAAATCAGGGTCGGTTCCATGCTAACCTCGGGGATGATTGAGTGTGATCGAGCTCATATGTGGCTCAGGCTCACTACCTAAGCTGTGAGACTCTCACTACCAAGCTTGATTATCTTGACTAAAGCCCCAGGTTTCTCATGATCAGTTGAGCTGGACAAGTAATTATGAGTATACTACCGCGAGGCGGTGAGAGGTTCCAGTGAAACTCTTGATCCTTCTCAAAAAAAAAAAAAAAAAAAAGAGAAAAGAGAAAGTGGTTTTGGGATCCCCATGGTCTTGCATACTAGGATGTGTCCTAGAAAAGATTAGTGGATACATTGCATTCATAATATCATATCATTTGTGTGCTGATTACTAGTATGTTTGTATGTGTAATTTCTAATTAACTCAATGTTATTTGCATGCTGTAAGTGAATATAAAGTTGTCTTACCCTTTCTGTGCATGTATTGTTATTATGAAATGTTTGCATAGGTGACGTTGAACACAACTCATCCCCGATTTCATCTCCAAGTAAAGTTTAAATATGATCACTACAAGTACTAAGTAGAGGACTTGATTGGACACCACTATAGTGCTACAAGAGATACTTCATTTTAGTGGACGTATGAAATATATCTCCTCTTTAATTAGGTTGTATAGTTAGTTTGTCTGCTTTGGTCTTGTGAACCCTTGTTAGGTGTATTTTGGGATGACTTTGTGTATATTTACTATCTAGTTATACTTAATACTTATGAATGATATGTATATTAATCACTAAGTGTATGTTCTAATTATTGTGTACCTTACTTCTACAAGAGTGTATTGGTAGTCAAATACTACGAGGAACCAATAATAATTAATAAATCATAATAAAGTGAATGTTGGTATTAAAGGTGTCACATACCTTGCATTTGGATAAAAAGGAGAACACCTTGAATTTCAAGAAGATTAGGAAAATTAAATCCCCTATTGATGAATTGATCACCAATAAGGAATTTTGGAGTAATGATACCTCGTTCCTTCCAAAAAGTGAGAAATTCCTAACGGCCCTCATCATCTGAGATCCATCCTTCGACAGATTCGGACGGGAATGAGAGGCAGGAGCATATCTTCTTCTTGTGCGAATTTTAGCACGAGAAGATGAGGTCATTTTAGGATTAGAAGAATAACAAGAGAGTTTAGGAAGACAAGTGATGTTAGGAGAAGGCAAGAAGACTTGAATGATGCTAGAATGCTTGGATTCAAGAGTTTGAGGTGTGGAGAAGTGAAATGAAGGCTTCCTATTTATAAACAACATCTCCAACGGTCATTTGAGAGTGCATAGGGGCCAAAAGAGCCGTTGGAAACGGCTAGTAAACAAAAACTATTAGGTTTAATCGATTAAATCTTGAAATAATCGATTAAACTAGTAACAAACCCATTTAATCGATTAAATCAAGCTGTTAATAGATTAAAACTGTAGTTAATCGATTATTTGATGAAATAATCGATTAATCCAGTGAGTAATTTCATATTTTAGACTTCTTAGGTGCAAATAATCGATTATAACTTCAAATAATCAATTATTACAGAGAGTTCATCAAATTTTTGAGGTTTAGACACATGATAATCTATTAATACCTTACATAATTGATTATAACATTACATTTATACAAAAATTGTTTAATCATGCAAAATTTAAGCAATGTCTAATATTCCTAAGTCTCTTTTAAGATCATAGAATCTATCCTTGGGAAGAGGCTTAGTAAATATATCTGCTAATTGATGCTTTGTATCAACATACTCAATTTTACAGTTTCCTTTACTTATATGATCTCTTAAGAAATGATGTCCATGTAAGTTCAACATTCATGTCCTTGTATGTTTCAACACTTTGAGGATATTGAGTTTGGGGGAAGAATAAGATTAAGAACTTTATCTTGGAGGAAGAATCAGTCACAATTTCATAACCAATTCAAATAGTTACTTTTGATAAAGTTCGGAACCTCCACAAGGCATTGCTGATGAACCCCTTACTCAAGATGATTTGGTTGTTCATGAAGAACAAACTCAAGATCCTCAAGAACCTATGCATCGTGAGCCAATAAATTTGCGGAGATCCCCTAGAGAAAGAAGAAGTGTTATTCGGATGATTACATGGTATTTCTTTAGGAACATGAGGAAAACAATGATATAATGGAAGATGACCCAGTTAACTTCCATCAAGCTATGCAAGGTTCTAACTCTCAAAAGTGGATTGAAGCAATGAAGGAGGAGTATAAGTCCATGCAAGACAATAAGATTTGGGAACTTGTCCCATTACCAGAAGGTATGAAACCCATTGGTTGCAAGTGGATGTTTAAGACCAAACGAGATTCTAAAGGTAATGTGGAAAGGTATAAGGCTCGTCTGGTAGCTAAGGGCTATACCCAAAAGGAAGGAATTGACTTTAAAGATACTTTCTCTCCAGTTTCATCGAAAGACTCTTTTAGGACAATCATGGCTCTTGTAGCACATTATGATTTGGAGCTTCATCAAATGGATGTCAAGACGGCGTTTCTCAATGACAACATTGATGAGACGATTTATATGGTATAACCAGAAAATTTTGTGTAGAGAGATTCAAAGAATATGGTTTGCAAACTGACAAAATACATTTATGGACTAAAACAAACATCTCGTCAATGGTACTACAAATTTCATCAAGTAATTCTCTCATTTGGCTTCGAGATGAATATTGTTGATGATTGTGTATATCACAAGTTTAAGGGGAGTAAGTATATTTTCCTGATCTTATATGTTGATGACATTCTACTTGCCACTAATGATATAAGCATATTGCACGAAACCAATAAATTTTTATCAAAGAATTTCAAAATGAAAGATCTTGGTGATGCGTCTTTTGTATTAGGAATTCAGATACACCGAGATCGATGTCTAGGTATTTTAGGATTATCACAAAGGAGCTATATCGAAAAAATTCTTAAAAGGTTTGGCATGCATGAATGTAAATCTGGGGATACTCCAGTTGCTAAGGGAGACAAGTTTAGTCTCAATCAGTGCCCAAAGGGGAATTTGGAAATTGAGGAAATGCAAAAGATTCCCTATGCATCAACTGTAGGGAGTTTGATGTATGCCCAAGTATGTACGCGTCCAGACATAGCATACATAGTTAGGATTCTAGGAAGATATTTAAGTAATCCAGGAATGGACCATTGGAAAGCAGCAAAAAGGGTCATGAGATATTTAAAGAGAACAAAAGATTATATGCTCACATACAAGAGGTCAGACCAGTTTGAGATCGTTGGGTTTTCTGACTTGGACTTTGCAGGATTTCAAGATAGTTTGAAATCTACTTCAGGTTACATTTTCATGTTGGCAGGTGGTGCGGTTTCTTGGCGTAGTTTCAAGCAAACCCTTACAGTCTCATTGAAAGAAGTTTAAATTGATATGTCGCAGTTTCAACACTTTCAAATGAGTTCCCCTAAAACAGTAATAATGCAGTACAATGGGAACCAGAATATCAATCCGTGGAAGTAATAAGAGTATATGATTGAGTT